GGCGTGCCTGAACTGCCCAAAACGCAGCGGTAGAGTTTGACCCTTTAACCCAAAAAATGTATCAAAACAATCAAATTTGATATTTTTCGCTGCTTTGAGCATCGAACATCGAAGATCTCACAGAAACTTTTCCCAGGCTCTGCGATGTTCAATGTTCAAAGCAACGAAAAATATCAAGAAAAATATCACAAAAATATCATATTTGATATTTTTCGCTGCTTTGAACATCGAACATCGAAGATCCCACAGAAACTTTTCCCAGGATCTTCGATGTTCAATGTTCAAAGCAGCGACAAATATCAAACTAGATTTCTTTAAATATTTTTTGATCTTAATGTCTGGCGTGTACGATCTAGGCTTTATTCTAGAATGCCACCCATATATAGCTTTACCTTCAAGACTTTCATATTGAATACCCTAGGCATTACCATATAGAATATATCCTATATACCTGGTATATGCCTCATTGAATACCCTTTCGCCTTTCGCCTATCGAATACCTTATAGCATTCTTCCTATATCTCTATATGTATTTTTTGTTTTTGTTCTAAGAATACCGTTTATTACAATACCTTGTGGAAATACCCTTTGATACCTTATAGAATGCCCCATAGAATACCTTGCTTTTCTCTTATATACCCTATATAAGCCTTATAGAATACCATTTGGAATATTGTATAGAATGCCTTATAGAAAACCCTATACGCGATGTTCCCTGTATACCTTATATACCCTTGAGAATCCCCTTGGAATTCCCGAAAGAGAACCTGTAGATCAGAATTTATATAGGAGAAATCAGGACGAGATAGCAGACCGTCTACATATGATATTATACATTATGTATGCCATATAGAAAACCTATACTATACTTTATAGGATACCCTGTAGAATCCCCTACAGAAACCTTTAAAAGTCACCCTGTAGATAGGGATTTTAAATATGGCCCAAAATCTGAGAAGTCACCAGTTGAATTGTAGCTTTTGGGCAAGGGATTCATTCCTGTGAAAAAAATCAAGAATCAAGAAGCATAGCCTAACAACCACCTTATAGAATACCATCTCTATATACTCTAAAGAACTTCATACAGAATGCCTTATAGAATACCTTCCGAAAATCAGGCTACAGAATAACTTTTGTACAATACCTTAAGGAGTACCCTATTGAATACTTGAATGAATGCCTTGTAGAATACCATCTGGAGTACACTGTAGTACAATACCTTACTGAAGACTGCCTATGTAATGTACCCTCTGTATACCTCAAATATACCTCATAGAATATTCTCTAGAACACCGTTTAGGATACCGTTTAGAATTCCTTATACAATACCCTACAGCATACCCTACCGATAAAGATTTAAATAAGGAAGATCAGGAGGAGCCCGCCGTTTAATAGTTAGACAACACTTCATTGCATTATCTTGGATCGAACGGTGTTGTGTCATCGCAGACAGGAAATACTAAGCAATACTTGGTATCTTTATCTGGTGTTGAACAGTTTTGTGTTGTTGTAGACAGGGAACACTAGGCAATAATTAGTATCATCATTGTCTTGGTTTGAACGGTGTTGTGTCGTAGTCATAGAGACGGAAGACAAGGCAATATTTAGCATCATTGTCTAGGTTTGAGCGGGTCTGCGTCGTCGTGGACAAGGGATAATAAGCAATACTCACCATCAGTAACCTTGGTTTGAAGGGCTGTGTGACACAAGCCTTTTGTTCGGAGTGGAGTCGTAACATAGTCCAAGAAGTACGAGAAGAGACTTCGAGGTAGGTTTTGGAGGGGGGTAGCATATATATATATACACATATATATATATACATATATACATATATATATATACATATATATATACATATATATATATATATCTATCTTTCTATCTATATGCATATATATATATATACATATGTATATACATATACGCACGCATGCATACGGCCTTACAGGTTCATACACCTGTATATATACTATGTTCCAAGGGGTTTGTGTTCGAAGCCTTCGACTCAGGCGATCATCGCCTGTGCCGTACGTGGCTGGGCTGCGCGGATGGTGTCGCACTACGCCCTTCACAATGACCCTGCCTTCCTCACAGAGGACATCTTGGACCTTGTGGTGATGCTAGAGCTGTCCGCCCTTATAATCTTGGCCGAGGCGGCGGATGTACCGAAGATAACCCAGAAGGTCTTCATCGCAGCCTGCCTCGTCTACTGTTCCGTCCTCTCAGCTGCACCGCTCTTCCTACCAGACCTCCCGAACTGGGATCCGGACACCAAGGTGCAGATCCTTTTCTTTGCGGCAATGACTCCGAAAAGTCAATTCATCAGTGCTTACGGGACGATGGCAGTCCTCTTAACTAAGGCAGCGGTGAGCGTGATTTTGCAGAAGAACGATTTCATGTTTCTTCGATGTCACTATGAGTATTGCCTAGATCAGCTAGACACCTCCTTCGCCAAACTGGCTGCGACGGACCCCTCCTGCATATTCTACTCAGACTTCCGCCGGGCCTTGCAAGAGATGGGCGTGTCAGATAGCCACATATTTGCTGGCTTCAATGCCCTTGACATCCAGCAGAGCGGGCGTGTCAGTTTGCAGAACTTTCGGCGCTGCTTGAAGGACGTCTTCACGGCATCCCCAGATGCTTCTCACGTCTCGCTTCTGGCCCAGTTCTGCCAGGAGGCCTTCTGCAACGTGTCAGGTTACGCTTCTCTCGACTCCATGTTGGGCTTGGTCCTGAGCCAGTGGCGTAAGATTCGGATGAACGAGTTTGGCCAACTGCTCTACCACTACCTCATGCAGGATCCGGGAGTGGAGCGTCTCTTCCGAAGCGCCAGCTTTCGTACGCAGTCGTTGCTCTTCGCTTCCTTTGTGCAAGTTGGCCTCGGATGGCTCGAAGAGAAGGACTTTCGACGGGTCGAAAGAGACATGACCTCCCTAGGCATGCGGCACGTCGGTTATGGGGTCCACCCCAGCCACCTCTGCGTCTTCCAGTTGGCCTTGCCGCTGGGCTTTAAGACTTCTCCTGAATCACTCCGCTTACACACGGTGCCCACTAGGGCCCTACACCAAACTACTCGTTGTTCCGTTGCTGTATCAGCATGCGCGTTTTGCTTCGAGGTTGAGGGCGCTGTCCAACCGGCTCAAGGGCCTGCCGCCAGAAGCGGAGATGGCCTGGTCGGTGGTCTGGCTTCACTTTATCGCCATCCCCTTCACACAGGGGCTCCTGACCACGGAGGAGACCGAGAAGAGAGTCGTCACTGGGACGGTCCGGGACTTGCTGCAGCAGGCAACCAGCCACAAGAGCTTCCTGCCCAGCTTGGCAGCAAACTTGAACAACGTGCCGGGAGGCGAGCACAACTGGAGCAACTCCGTCTTCAGGGATGCAGCTCACGAGTTGAGCCACATGGGGATCTTGGTCTCCTTCATTCAAGACACTGCCGCCGCTCGGACTTCACGAGCTGAGAATCCCGTGCACTGAGCTGGTCGAAATCCTAGAGTCCTCGAGCGACAGATGCTTCATGCAATGCACGAATGAGCCGTCGATTGCACTGCAGTGCTGCACTGCAGGAGACGCTGTACGCAGGCGAGATGCTCAATGCCCGGAAGCGGCTTCGGCAAGTGGCAACCATCCACTGGGATCGTGGTGTTTTTCCAAGGCACATGCTCACGTTTCAGTCCCCTGGCAGTTTGAACCCTGGAGTTGTTCGCTGCTTGTCATTTACATCGTCTCATCTCCTTAGGTCTTTTCAGGAGGATTCGGTCGCTGCCAGTCCCCAACGTGCCCCGAAAGAAGTCAGGCACAGGCGTGCCTAGACCCGGGGTGCCCAGGCACGCTGCGACGATGACGTTTCGAGAGATTCTGGGTCCTGAGGCGGGCCTGCTCTTGTTTGCTTGTCCTATTGGTGTACTGGCTGCCCATGCATGTGCGACCGAATGCTGCAAGAGAGGTGTTCAGCTCCTTTGCAGAGACGATGTGGGCCATCTTTTTCCAAGTGGAGGCCAGGGCATGGCAGTTCATGGACACCATATGTTATATACAATATATATATATATGTTATATTATATATTATATTAGTATATATTATATATATATTATATATTATATATATATAATATGCATTATATATTATATATTACCGATGTAGGAGATCATGGAAGTCACTGCCTGCCGCTCTCCTTGCGGTCAAATGTTGGATCGCATGCGGCAGGTGCTGGACGTCCTGCTTCTGGCACCCTTCGGCGAAACTCAGGACAAGGCCAGCCGAAGGTTGCCCTACCGAGGTTGACGTTTACCTTATTCAAAATCGGTTTCGAGCAGCACTTCGCGTCTAAGCGGTCCGTGTCCCAGATCCTGGCTACGGCCCCCAAAGCCAAGAGAGTACAGCAATCTCGCCTGACAGTCGCATGGAAACAAGCAAGCGTCACAGTCGTGCTGTGGCTGTTACCAGCTCTAGTGCCGAAGGAGTATAGACACTGATGGAAATAGGAATCGTCGACGATAGTATGCTGTGGTCGTCGTAGCAGCGGCAATACGGGTTCCAAGTAGTGGTGTGCCTAGGCTTGCTACATGCCAACATCACAGTGCAAGCTACGGCTATGTCCAGCGGTAGGTCCTTCCTCGGGCCAAGGACGGTTTAGCATGAGCCGGTTGTCATGGCTGCGGTGTTCTTAACTCACTTTGCAACCATCCTTGAGGTGTGTTCTTGTCTTGGACCCTTGAGTCGACACCTGGACTCTGTTTGTTGCCAGGAACCGGGAGCTCCTCACACTTCCTCACATGAAATCACGATGTTCAGGTGGAGTCCTGGGCTTTGAGCTGCAAGGTGCACTTCGTACCTTGGACCCGCAGTGGATGCAATAGCATGGGCATGGCATGTCTAGCACCCGAAGCTGATTTGAAAGGAGCCACAAAGTAGTCGTTTGTGTTCAAAGCCCCGCTTTGGCTGCACACATCTCTTGGGATGCTTAGGGCACACCCTTGTTCCGCGCTCCCTCACGTGTAAGCTTGGAAGCCCGAAGGGGAACTCGGCTGCCAGGTGGACAAGCATTCCTGGACGCTCTTGATGAAAATCGCATCTTTGGATGAAGGCCTCGCTTCCAAAGGATACCAGCGCTTGTGCGCCGAGAGCGGGAAGGATGTGCAAAAGCTGAGCGTGGACGATGTTGTGAAGACTTTCTGTGACGAAAGTGCCTTGCCTTGAATGGTGGGCCGTGCTTAGCGTCTCGTTGTCAACGACATGATCCAACTATTGCAGCTCCCATCCTAAAGAGATGACCCAACCGGTGCAATTCCCATCCTTTGAGACCTTCGCCTTGAGTAATAAGCCCGCAACTCCAGGGTCCTTATCACTGCAAGAAGAGATTGAGTTTCACTGTTCATTACTGTTTGGGCTTGTGGCTTAGACAAGTTCAGGGTATAAGTTCATACCATCAGAGCGCCTTACAGCCTCAGTTCTGACCGTCTCGACTTTTAGTCCTTCGAGATCGACCTGGAGTGGAGTGGAGTGGGGGCAAGGACCCTTCTTAATTCAGGATCTAGGGGTGCAGGATTTGGTGTGAAAGGAGGGTAAACTCGAATCCTCCGGGCCCAAAAACCTTGGAGATCCCTAGAGCTGAGGCATGCAGCATCCATCGTGGACCTTCGACCGAGTCGTTCAGAACTACTGCTCGACGCCCCCGGCGGTGGCCTTGCTTGAGTGACCAGGCCGTCCACATCACCAATTGTTTGACATGTACTATGAATGGACGATATGCAGGATTCAGAGCAACTTAATGATTCTGATGGGCTTGTTGCGACAATGACCTCACCCTTTCTAGCCCATTACCATCGCAGCTTCTGCTAGCAGGCACAATATACTTTGACAGCCACTATGATTAAACTGCGATGCTTGTGATGGGTGGTGTTTGTTCGGCTCGTTTGGGCCTCTCCGCTTCAAGCAGTATAGCTGCCTGAAGAAAGTGTGCCCAAAGTTTGTTTCAGAATCTGTCAGGCGAACCTGAAGGTTTTATGAAGGAGATGAGCCGTGCCCTCTCCAAGAGAAGGCGCTATCACGGACGGTTGTTCCAAATGTGGGGCTCTTGCATATTTACTATTGCTACTATGTATCCTTCAATACAATTATGATTATGGTCTTGATCGTTTACCTATGACTACTACTGTACTCTTACGATTATTTCGGATGTTTTTGTAATGGTAAACCTGCATCTAGCAGCATAGCCTGATTCTGATCGACCGCCAGCTACTGCTGCGCTGACGGCACATTTTCCGCCAAAAAAACGCACTGTCCCGAGCCTGGCCCGGCTCTTTTCGTGACAGCTGTGGACCGCAAGCAGTGAAAATTCGGTTCAACAGACCCCCCGCCCGCCGTAGAGCAGAGTTGTGCAGAAGCTTGGGATCGACTGTCCCAAAAAAATTCAGTCAGATGAGGGGTTGTACGGTGGAGGCACACAACCTCTTGCAACAAACAGCGCAGTCGTGCAGCTGTGCATCTCTGCTTCTACCGCTGCCCTCGACTTCTTTTGAACAGTCCATCACATTGAACGAAGGACCTGTCCTCACGATTCGTCGAAATTAAGTTAAATACCATGGTGCGTCAAAGGCCACGTTCCTTGCAGCTTGACGAATCGTGATTTCCAGTGCTCCTCGTAGAACTTTTTGTGGAGTGCAGCCGCAAATGTGGCACTTTTGCAGCCGAGTGGTTACCTCTTTCGGGCCTGACGAGGTCCTGGCATCTCCGAACAAAGGCAATAGACCCCCCGCCGACCACCCTTGTCCCGTCCCATACACATGCTGTGAACCCAACACATAGCCAAGTTTTCCACAGCCAGGCAACACTTCGGAGGAGCCTATCGTCATCCGACAAAATCGTCTGCTGGGTTTCGGGGTGGTTTTGGCTCTTTTCGGCTCGTATTTTTTGCAACTGGGGCTGCTGCTTTTCTGCCAATCCCTTCTGTAGGGGAAGAAGGTCTGGGTGCAAGGCCAGATGGCCCAAGCAGTTCATACCGTGGCTCGGGCTCTGGACAAGCGGAGGGCGCCCGCGGTCCGCGAGCGCCATGGCGCTCGCGAGCATGCAGGCACCCTTCTTGGATCTTGCAGGTCGTCACAGCTCTGCCCGCCCCAGTCCAGCGACCTAAAAGCCCAAAGTTCTTGGCTTGCACTCGCATTCGGCTCAAGAGGGGTGCCGGACAAGAGACACCTTGGGGCACCCCCAAATCCCGCCGCAGGGCTGCAATGTGAAAGCAGAACCTGCGGCCTGTAAAAAGTAGAAAAGCTGTGATCCACGGGGGGGGGGTGAGATGTAGACATCGCGGGACCGGAGCAAAGATGCCTTTCTTGGAAGATGGTGGAGTCCATGTCGGGAACCACTCGTCCACATCGCTTGATTAGTAGATTCCCATGCAATGGGCGCCAAGGTACCAAAGAAGCTTGCTGTGACCCTCTGCGACAAAGCTGAGCACGGAGAAGCACTGAGGAGGCAACCTGAAGATGGGATGTGATCCTGAAGACTTTTGATGAACCGCTTAAGAATCCCCATCTACAAGTTATGTTGAGGAGACTTTGAGGAGAAATCCTGTAGCTTGCATCCGAAACTACTCTCAGACGTGAACTTACTGTGAAGCAGAGGGCCCGAATGATGTGAGATTCTTGGGGTCACCTGCATCCCAAAGCCGTAAAGGCCCCAAAGCATTCTGGGATGTCGGCTGGGCGCAGAAATGCCTTTCAGAAAATTTTGGGGTGCCTTTTTCAGGCCTCCTTCTGGCTGGTGGGCCGCTCAGGGCGTGCGTTAAGGCTGGCCTTCCTTCCCGAACTCGGCCGCAGCCCCCGAGACACCCGAAGGACCCGAGAGTCGAAGCCCTTGGCCTACTGGAAAGAGAGGGTCATAGGTACCTAAGTTGGTGTCATAAGTCATAAGTAACTGTTAACCACAGCTACCTTTCTTTATGACCCTACCAACTACAGCTACCTTTCTTTATGAATTTATGACCCTACTAAGTTATGAACCTTTAACCCTCGAAGCTCCTCGCATTTGGGCCCAGCCCAGGGCCCGGCGAAACCGGGCCGTCCCGGCCTCCCCCAGAGGTGCCGTGGGGTTTGGGGCAGCTTTGGGGTTTGGGGATTCCAGTTTGGGGTTTGAAGGGCTCAAAAATTTTGGGGGTGTAAGAGTTCCCTAAACCCTAAGCCGGTTGCACGGCTGCCATGATCAGTGGCTGCATTTCTGGCTTAAGGTCTCGAAGGTGCAGGCTTGATGTTTACAAATCTAAGGTGCTACAGTTACAGTCCTCACCTCTGAGAGCGGTGCGCAGTGTCTGCAACCTTTGCCTTCGAGGCTCTTCATTCAGGAGCATGAATACCTTGAAGCCCTCTGTTGTCGAAGCCCTTCAGCTCAATGCTTGAAACCCAAAAGACGCCTCTTCAGTCTTGGCTCCCATGGAAGAAACCGAAGCCGCCCCACGCTCGAGCAGGGGGGGGGAAGATGATCTTCCCCAACGCGGCCTCCCTGAACCTGCCGCCCACCCGCTTCGCGCTTAAAGCGCGGCCCTACTTCATCGGGCTGCTGGGAGCAGCTCGGTGCGGGGTTTCAGACTCGTTTTGGTTGCTGAGTGTCGGAAGGAGCAAGCCCAACCCAGGGTCGGCAAGGGAGAGTGCAGGGTGCTGTCGCCAGCTGAGGTGCAAGCCCTGCTGATGGTGGCCAGGCGCCTCGACAGTCTGAAACTTTTCGCTCACTGATGGTGACGGCATGAGGAGATGTGACGGATGTAAACATGTAATGCAGTGGGCATAAGCAGGCGCTTGCTCTTCTGCTACAGTGAAGCAGAACCCGCCAGCAGCCTGAGGTTTCTGATCTTAGACGTCTGGGGAGCCCTGCTGTCGCTGCTGATTCTGACCTTGGGGACCTTCGTCCTGGCCACCGGAGCAGGCGCCCAGCAGGGTCCCAAAAAAAACACCTTTTCGGCGCGGCTTCCGTGGCTAAGCTAAGCTTAGTTTTGGGGCTTGAAGTCCCTTAAAGGGCCCCCAGAGTTTTAAGTAGTGTGTGTGCTGAAGCTCTTTTGACATCTATGTGGCTCGCCGGAAATCGCCAGCAGTGTTTTTTCTCCGATGGTCCCTGCACCAGGGGTGGACACGGGCTATTGCCTCTACTACGGTACCTTGGCTCTTCTCCGAAAGCCCCCCCCCCCCCACGGGCTCTAGGTTTTGCGGGGGCCTAGAGACCCCCCAAAGGGAAGGCCAAGGCGGGTCTCAATGTTTTGCCGCTGTTTCAGAATCCCAGGACTCATGTGCCTGGTGAACGGGATCTTCGATGCCATCCTCTTCTTGGAGAGGGCGGTCCATGTGAAGTATCCCTTGTTTTCAAGGCAAGAATGATAGGAATCCCGGAGCTAAGCTCCCCCTAAGCCCTAGGCCCTAAGCCTCGAAGCTCGGAGCCGCTGTGCTTGGACTCCGCGCCTGGAGGCATGCACCAGCGGTCTTCAACGCCGCTTCGGGCGTCTTCTTGGTCTGCCCAATCATCGAATTAGCTGCGGCGTCTCGGTGCATTGTGAGATGGACATGGTGATGGTGGTGATGATGATCATGGCGACGATGATGGACATGTTGGTGATGATGTGTGCCTTGTGATTGAGATAGTGATAGTGATGCTGAGTACTTACCCAGTGGCGTCCACGTTCGGTCATTGTGGGCTCCGCGGAAGCAGCACCAGTCAGTGTGTCAGCACCAGCAGGCTTCATCCGTGACTGTGTTGGGGCTTTCGGGGCTCAGGGCTCAGCGCCGTGGGCCACAGACCATGCGTTGTGCCGCTGGACACATTGATCCAAACCTATGTGAACAAGCCGAAACCCTGTAACCGAAGCCCTGGGCTCTTTGCTGGACCTGGACCCCAATCCTTTTTGTTATCCAGTAAAACTTAGATCCTGAACCCTTGAAATCCACTGTACCAAGCGCAAAGAGGCTTCCCTGGCTGCAGCGATCTACATCGAGGCATCCGAGCAGGAGTCGGGTTCAAGGGCCCGGAAGCTGTGGAGATAGAGGGATAGCAGAAGGATGGTGCAAGATTGGAGCGTGATCTTTTCCATGTCTGGTATCCGTTTCAGTACTATGGCGCTTCGTGAGCCTCCGAATTTTGTCGAGTTCTGGTCAGCACACTTGTCGAGGCTGCAGCGGTCCAGAAACTTCTGTAAGGAGCTCAAATTGAGTTGCAAACGCTCAGCCCTAAAGCCTAAGCTTCATCCCAAATCAGATCCGAAATCCACGGCTGTTTAATCTCCATCGGCCAGAACAGCCTGTCGACGGCTTGAACATCCAGGCCTTGGGATCCTGGACCCCAAAGTCCGAATCATAGGAGACGGAGGTGAGACGTGGTCCCTTCTGGAAGCCGCAGAAAGGAGAGCCGGCTTCTCATGCCCGGCCTGCAGCAGCTGGATTTCGGCTCGGCGCAGGAGGGCGAGGCGTGGGTGATTCTGGTGTGTGTTTCTGTGGTAGGGGCTGAAGAGTAAGATGGTTCAAGGCTTACCAGATGCTTCGGCAAGGCTCGGTTTGTTCAGGAAAGAGGTCGACCGGGTGGCTTCTTTTGGCATCTTACGCCACCCACCTGAGTACCTGCTCTTACTTTGGGCTTCGGCCTATGGCAGTGTGTGTCTGTCCGCCTTGGTCGCAGTTCATGTCGTCCGCAGGCCCGCCGCCCATCGGAGCAGTTCCAGGCCTTCACAGGCCTTCGCATCCCGTGATCACAACTCCAGCGATTGGGGTTTCCTTGGGCATTGAGCTGGTCAGGCCGCAGCTACCACCTCTGAAATCTGAGAGGTGGGCAGAGGAAAGTCCCAGCAGTCACAAGATGCTGCAATAGAGTCGCTCTGGACTGCGAAGCGCAACGCTTCGAAGACTTCGAAGCAGTCTGTGTTTGTTGACGGTGCAGCCATGTGCTGGCAGTGCAGAAAGCTTCTGCTGTTCCTGCGATTATTGTATTCTTTCCATGCATGGCTGTATGGCCAAGGCCTCCAGTGTCAGTTGCTGATGTCCTGGCCTATCGTTTCAGGGTCAACGCTGGGTTTCTAAGCCCTACATGATGCTTTCCCTGGTTGGCACAACAGATGATCCCAGAAGACCGAGACATCCCTCGCTTTCTCTTTCGCGGAAGCGTTAAGCCACATGAAGCGCGGCGAATCACGGTCAGAGCGGCACATGGGGGAGCGTGTGCAGGCGCCTCAGCTGCCGGTGCCGCCTCAGCTGCCGGTGGCGCCTGGAGCTGGAAGGCCGGATGTGACTGGAGCTCACCACAGGCGGACTGTCGAGCTGCAAGGCTGTGCAATGTGCCGCGAGAGCACTGCATTGCAGGGTCAGAGCCTCAAAGCATGACCAAGTGGTGCCTTTGCGCAGCCTTTGAGCTATTCCGGCTTGCAGGCGCAGTTGCGGACCAGAGGCCGCAGTGGAGTCTTGCAAGCTGTTTGCACCATGGTTAGTTGCCAGGTGTCCTTGGCGACCTTGGCCGGCGTTGCAGCAGGGGCAACAATATGCTCATCTTCCGTGCGCCTCCCAGATCCGCCCATGGGCTTCCACAATGGTCCTCCGTTTTCTGCAGAGCTGAGTAGAGCACAGCAGGCCCTGCGCCTGCGTCGCGGCCAGCGAACGCAGCTCTTCGCCGGGAGCCCGGACCGGAGTCGAGGGCTGGGCAGGGAAGGGAGGGGGGAAATGGGGGGGGGGAAATCTGGCCCTGTAGGCTTTGTCGATGCTGCAGCGCCTCTTTGCGAAAGAGAAGTCCAAGGCGAGACACCGCCTTTTTGTCCGAAATCTTAGGAGCCCTTTTTTCAGCCCTGAGCTCCCCTTTTGCCAGGCTGAACGCCTCGACGAGGAGATCGTCGAGATGCGTCGCCAGGAAGAGGAGGAGTTTTTGACGGGGGGAGAGGGGGGGGGGTTCTGTGGGATCCTTTTTTTCCGCCTCTGGAGCTTCTGCAAGCAGACTCCTCGGCGGTAGTTCTCACGGGGTAGACCCTGATATTCCCTGCGCCGAGGACCTGCAGGCCCTGCACCAGGAGCTCGGTAGCCAAGCGCCCAGCAGAGGCCTCAGCAGCCATGGCTGGGCAGGCTGCCTGGGTTTGTTGGAAGTACGTCTTCTCTCCCAGAAGATCATTCCTTGTCCTTGCCATCATTTTTAAATACAGCGCTCGTATGTAGGAGCCAGGGCCAGCATCGCAAGATGTGAGAGGATCCCATGATCTCTGAGGCGAGCAAGACCTTCGCGTCGAAGCGCTTCGACGCCAGCAGGAGAAGCTCGCAAGGCCTGCGGGAGCCCTAAACTCAAAGAAGGATAGCGAGGGTTTCGTCGTGGCATTGGACTGGGCACTGTGGCAATGTAGTTATAGAATGAAACCGTATTGCGACATGCAAGACAGCAGGCTGGCCTAAGTTTGCCAGCACCTTCGCCCCCTAACCCTGAACCCTTGGCTTGGACTCCGGGCTTTTCAATGCTTGTCCTGCAGCGGTGTCTTCTGCAGAAGATGGTTCCATGAAAGGATTGCTATGAAGGATGCCTTGGCGCTTCAGGCGCATAGCTCGTCGGCCCCAGCGTGACCATTCGTGAAACGTCGATGTCCTTGAGGGTTTGTGCGGTCCGCCGATCTCGTTGCTCCAAGAATATGCCGAAAGTTCACGATATGTCCGGAATCAGCTTTATACATGCAGCAGCCCCTGTTCCGTCCGATTTCTGGCAGGACTTTTCTTAACACACACGTTTCAAGACTGTACAGGAACAGCCTGGGCCTGGGGACGGTGTTCCGACAGGTTCGTTGCCCTTCGGAGGTCGCGGCGGATGAGCTCCCGAAGGAGGGGGGGGGCCTTCGCTTCAAGCCCGAAGTCGCAACGGCTGCTTGTTGCTGCTTGTTGATCTTCTCCGATCCGCGTTCCTGGAATCCGATCCAGAGCCGAAGGACGGCCAGCGAGCAGGGCAGGCGCAGCGCAGATTGAAACACACTGTGGCATCTGATTGACACGTCGGTAGCCGGTAGCCCAAGGCCACGTCCTCTAATCCAGCCAGTCCATCTCGTGCCGCAAGCCCCATGCTTAGAGACCTAGACAAGCAGCTTCAAAAGCCTACCTTCTCTGATCTCTGGCGGACTTGAGCTTCGAAGCGAACGGCACCTGAACCCTAAACTCCAACCCCGAACAACTGAACAATAAAACCCTGTAAACCCTAAACCCTGAACCCCGAACAACCCTAAACTGCCGGCAGACCTGCCGAGAGGCAGCGGCCCCAGTCGCCGCCGGCCCCTTGGAGAAGCTACCTCGATGTGGACACAGGCCCTTGGGGAGCACACTTGGGCTTTAGGTTTGTAGTCCTTTTGGTTAAAGTGGTTGCAAGTTAACAGGGTCATGGGATCAGAGGGTCAGGGTTTAGGATTTAGGGCAATCTGGAAAGGCCTCAGCGATCGTGAGTTTCGGTCGTGGACTTTCGAAGTTAACGCCGGGAAGGTCCGCGACGTTTCTGGATCTGTGTTGCAAGAGCCTTTGCAGGCTGCTGGTACTACCACAACGAGGCTGCCCGTGGCGGCCGTGCAGGGGCTGCGGGATCTTCATCTTACAACCCTAAAACCCTAAACCTTAAACCGCTTGCAGGGGGTCCCTTGAAAAAACTCAATGTAGTTATACATAGTCCCATGTATAGTGCAACAGTATTCTGCACCCACAGAACGAATTCTCATCACTTGCTCCATTGAATAATCCTTACCACGGGGCTGGCTTAGGAGGAGCCGCGGGAGCCCTGAGCCGCCGAAGCCCTCAGAATGCACAGGGTGACCCCCTCATAGTAAAGGCCTGTGCCCCATGGTCTAAAACGCACGAGGCTTTTCGGGATCACCTCCAATATAAGCAGTGGGCCGCCCCCACCATCCCTGACCACACCGCGCAAAGAAGGGAAAACAGAGGACCACTGTTTGACACGCAACCCAATGAAACG